TAAATGGTTATTTGTGCAATGATGTCAGCCAGATTGAAAAAAAAAACTGGAATTCTTTAAAAGATAGATTAGGCTGTGCCCATCATGCAGAATGCAACTGATTGAACATACCTGGACTGGTCAAGCTACCTTTAGATACTGGTGCTTGTCAGTACAATGTAAAGCACTGATTTTGAGTTTTAAATCAGATTTGGGGAATATAAAGCCTTGCTATTGGCTATGAAACCTGAAGCTGCCCCTTCCTGCTTCGAAGATTTAAACAAATAATAAAAGTTTGTTTTCATTTGTACCAGTCAGAAATATTCTTTTCTCACTTGCCTGTTGTAAAAGGCATTGATTAGCTAATGCAAGACAGAATATGTTTTAGTAGTCATGATGCATTTCTGAAATGAGTTTCTAGACATCTTCTTTGGAAATATTCAGGACAAGTCCAAAGAACCATTTCTTCCAATTGTTTTTTCTTAATTTTTTTGGGGGAAGGGGGGTGATTTTAGTGTATTTAAAGGTTAATGATTTAATGCTCGTTTTGGGGGGGGGTGTTGTTTTATTGCATTGCTTCATTATGTTTACTATCTTGAACAGTGCATTCTTAAAGTTAGCCTTAAAAAAAATAAATTAAATGAAAAGACTGTCTTTTTCTTATGAAAGAATGCTACCAGATTCTATATTGGAAACATTTATAGAAGAGTCTTTCTATTGATGTAGTAGGATCCGGACTCCTCCTCCTGCCTTTTCTCGAATCCTTGAAGATTTGGGTTTTTTTGTTTGCTTTGAATTGTTGAAGCTGTATTTAGCATCAAACTTCATATAGTTGCACGGTATATGCATTAAATTTATACAAATAAATTCTAAGAAAATGGATTTAATGGAAATTGAATTAGTTGTTTTAGCTTAGCTTTAATGTAGTTTTCAGGGTTTTAATAGGTGCAAGTACACATTGCCTGTGATTTGCAATTATTATATTCTCAAAAGCAAACAAAGAACCAAACAGAAGAGAATCCAGCTGCATTCCCAAAAGACTAAACTCTTTTACTAATGAGCTCCCTTGTACTCTAAAAGAAATTTGTATTTGCAAAATACGGTAACTTGAAAATTACTGTGATAATCTAAATGTAAAAGTATGGGGGAAATGGGACATCATGGTGGGATTTGCTTGTCATGATATGGTTGATCATAGTGCTTGAATAGTAAACATATACAAAGCAGCAATTTGTGGATTTTTTTTAAAAAAATGTCTATGTTTATATGTACTTTAAATCAAGTTACTATCTGAATATTTTTCTGCGCTTTTAAGATAGGAAAAGTTATAAGGAAGAGTTGGCTGGCAAATTGTTCATTGCAGCTTTGTCATAAATTGTTTAGCTTCATAAAATATGAAATGAAATGACATGAATACAATATGAATAATCTTCTTTATAAATCTTATATAGCTAAATGAAAAGATCTTACAGAAAAAAAATCTTTTTGTTATACACAACTCAGAAATTTTCCTTTTTTTATGTAATGAGATACACTGATTTTTGTTAAGGATTTCTTTATTTTGTTCCAATAATTAGTATGTTTTAGAGTTAGCTACCAGTATATGTTGCAAAGCAATTACATTTAATTCTGTGTTATGATAATTTAATTAAAAATTCATCATTACATATTTTAAATCAGTTCATTGGGAAGTTTCTTCCACTTATATTACTATAAGAAGCAACAATATGATAGTGGTAAAATAAAACAGTTAGTGTAATAATGTTAACAGTTATTTATATAATGATTGTATGTATATAACAATGTATTCTAATAATATAAGCAGAGTTTTCTTTTGTATTGTACATCGTCAGCACCTACTGATTTTTACCCTGATTTTTAAAAATTCTCATTGAAGTCAGTAATTTTCAATTGATTAAAATTGGTTTCTACCTAGATAGACCTTAGTGATATTTAATTCATGGAACGTAATGTTTGAACTGCAACTTTAATAAATGGAGAAGTTGCCATTTTAGCTATAAATAGAAAAGCATTAAGTAGGTTCCAAGGGGAAAAATAAGTCAGGAAGCCATGTTCTCCGAAATTTAAGAGACAAGTTTATTAAAGGAGAATAAAGGTGGAAAACATTAAAAATGAAATATGTAAAAAGATTTGTATGGCCTATTACGTCTGACTTTCACATATTGGTTAGATTCACACATAATGCTATGCTGCCAAACCAATAAGAAGATTGGTTTGGTTGTGGCTTAGGGATGTCTCTAACCAATATAGTTGATAAATCATGGTTTATAGCTGAGTTTATGTGAATCTAAAAATTGTAGTTTCCTTAGACCAGAGTTAAACAAAATTACATAATATAATTGTGAACCCAGTTGATGATTTTGAACCAGCTTGATAATTCTGTGACTGAAAACTTTTTATTAAAGCATGCAATTTTATGTGTGCCTTACATTAAGCTTTACGGAAGACAAATAAACGATAGTTCATTTGAGAAAGGGAGGGGAGTGGGAGAGAGGGAGAAATAAAGAACTGTGTGTCGTGGAAGATATTTAACTTAGATGCTATAATTACGTTTAAATAGGACATTGAATGAATATGTCATACTTGACAGATGAAAGTGAATGAATATATCATACTTGACAGATGAAAGTTTTTTTTTAAGTAAATACCAGCTGTTCAGGCTTTTAAATGTAAAGTAATACAAATAATAAATTGGGGAAACCATTAATTCGTGTAGCAAGAAGCATCTCAGTTTAGCCCTTCTATTTTCTCTTTGCACTTTCCTTGGCTTTGAGGAAAGACCTTTCTTGAAACTGGTACTCTGGGATATTTAACTTAAGTTCAAGAAGGTAATCTTAAAAACAATCACTGGTTCAGAAGAACACACTGAAATTATTTAATAAATAAATCTATACAGTCCCCTTTGAGCTGAGGTTAAAGTTAAAGAAGTTAATTAACTATTTGTTTTAACTTAAATAATTATTTTAACTGTTAAAATTAAGTTGAACCAAGTTAAAGAACTGATTAATTTATGCAGAGAAGTGTTGAATAGATGTGTAGGAAATTTTACTACCTATTATTTTTATTTTCTAAGTTAAAGGGTTCCTGTGGAGCCAAGACATTCTTTTAAATAAAATCATGGTAGAGGCCAGGGTTTTATTTTTCAGCATGCCTGCTTCCCATATTTTGAATTCAAAGAATAAAATAAATAAGTTGGGATGTTAAAAAAAGTTATTCCAAGGTACAGCCTGTTCTCACTCTGTGATCTGGATCATGAAGATTAATATGTTCCCTGAATACTAAATATATACCTGAGAAAAGGTGTCATTCCTTTAAGAACCTTGAATGAATGGTTCCTTTATCAAATCAACTTTTTTTAATAGGATAGAGAAACCTGGGGAAAAAAATCAGGTTTCTTCAATGGATAGGAGAAAAATGTTATACTTGGGTGGGATTCTACAGGTTCCCACCTATTCGCTAGAACCGGTTGTTAACATTCTAAGCAGTTCGGAGAACCGGTTGTTAGAAGAAATTACTGGCCTAATCCTGTAAGGAAGGCAGGAAGGAAACATTCTGGTGTTGCTTACAGAAACTGCCTCTCTGTTAACCCTTATTATATTCTTGACAGGACTAGACTTCCTGTCTCAGGAACTTCTCTGGCGTTTTTTTTTTTTTTTTGCCTCCTTTGCTGGTACTTTGCTTGTGTGGAGTGACTATTCAAGATTACAATGGCACTGAAAAAAGTGACTTATGACCCTTTTTCACACTTACGACTGTTGCAGCATCTCCACAGTCATGAGAGGCCAGGCGAGAGGATGTGTGCCTTGATGTGAGTGATGTTGAGTTGGCCACACCCAGCCAGTCACATGACCACCAAGCCATGCCCACCAACTAAGCCATGACCACAGAACCGGTTGTTAAAAAATTTGAATCCCATCCCTGGTTATACTCCTATGGGGTCTGAAGTAATTCTTAAACAGTTTTTAACCTTGCATAGTCATCTTCTGTTCCTATTTATTATAGAAAGTATTATATGGAATAGGATATTTTTTCACTAGGTTTGCATGCTTAGATTTGTTTTAAAAATATTACCTATTTTAAGATCAGATACTGGATGAGGTAAATAGTTGAGAATTAATATAATCCAGCAACCCTGAATTGATTTATTTTGAATCTGATTATATTGATCCAAGATGGACAAGGACTTAAATTTCTGCTGAAAGTGTTCATAAAATTTTGATTCTTGTAACTGAGAGAACGAGTATTTATAAAAATGATTTGATTTCTGCTATGATTATACATGAATAATAGGTTTCACTGTACTTTTCTTTTTCAATATATTGCAATATGATTGGATCAGAGAGGAGCCTAATGACAGTAATTGAACAATAGATTCTATAGAATATTCAGTAAAATGATCTAAATAATGTACAGCTTTTTAAGCTTTTCTAAAAACAGCTTATCATATGTTGTATTAGTTTATCAGAATTAAAGAAAATAAAAATAATAGAAAACTAGGGGAGGAAAAGGGGAAGAAGAGGGAGCGTGACATGGAAGGGGGAAAAGGGCATTGATACTGCACATGTGTCCATATGGAAAGAGTATTACTGAAAACCTGCTCTTGTTTCAGTATTCTGCAACAACCATTGGTATTATTATATTTAAAAAAAACAGAAGTCACTGGCTTATGAAATAGAAATGGGAAAACATTTTAAAAGATACATAATAGCAATAGAATAATTTAATCAAAACAAATGTGTATTGTAATATTTCTGCCCTAAGTTTTTAATCATTGCATAGAAAAATATTCTAAATATGCTGCAATTTAATTAATATTCATCTGCTGTATATATGAGAAACTGATTCAATATTCAGTAGGGCTAAGGGTGCTACTCAGTTAAGTTGCTTTTTTATTTCTTACTTCTGTTCCAGTTTTGCATATATTTATTTAAGTTTGGTTTTCTCCCCGACAGGACTGCCTCAGATTTTTTTCCAACTCTGCATAACGGTCATCTGGGGTTATGAAGTCAGTCCTAGATGGCCTTGCAGATACAACCTTCAGAACAATTACAACAGACCTCCTTTATATGGGTTCTAACGACATCCAGTACGAAGACTTTAAAAGTGACATGGCCTCCAAATTAGGATACTACCCAGAGAAATTTCCTCTGTCTTCTTTTCGAGGTGACTTCCATCCCAAAATGACTGCAGGAGAAGATGCCTCTTTAGGTGCGCACCCATCGGATCAAATCAATATTACAGATTTTTACAACAAAACCTTGTCTCCCTTTAAGGAGAATGAGGAGAACATACAGTGTGGTGATAACTTTATGGACATGGAATGCTTCATGATTCTGAACCCCAGTCAGCAGCTGGCCATTGCAGTCCTGTCCCTCACCCTGGGCACCTTTACTGTTCTGGAAAACCTTCTGGTTTTAATTGTCATCCTGCAGTCTCGAAGCCTTCGCTGCAGGCCTTCTTACCATTTCATTAGCAGCCTGGCAGTAGCTGATCTCCTCGGCAGTGTGATCTTTGTCTACAGTTTTGTTGATTTCCATGTTTTCCATCGGAAAGATAGCCCTAATGTGTTCCTTTTCAAATTGGGTGGAGTTACAGCCTCATTCACTGCTTCAGTTGGAAGTCTTTTCCTCACAGCAATAGACAGATACATATCTATACACAGGCCCCTCTCCTACAAAAGGATTGTTACCAGGTCAAAGGCTGTTGTAGCGTTCTGTGTGATGTGGACAATAGCTATTGTAATAGCTGTTCTCCCTTTGCTTGGTTGGAACTGCAAAAAGCTCAATTCTGTTTGCTCAGATATATTCCCCCTAATTGATGAAAATTACCTGTTGTTCTGGATTGGGGTCACCACTGTACTCTTGCTTTTTATTGTTTATGCCTATATGTATATACTCTGGAAAGCTCATAGCCATGCTGTTAGGATGCTCCAGCGCGGGACTCAAAAGAGCATAATAATTCATACTTCTGGGGATGGTAAAGTGCAGCAGATCACTAGGCCAGAACAAACACGTATGGACATTAGGCTAGCCAAAACTTTAGTCCTCATTCTTGTGGTTCTGATCATCTGCTGGGGTCCCCTACTTGCTATTATGTTGTATGACGTCTTTGGGAAAATGAACAAGCTTGTCAAGACTATCTTTGCCTTCTGTAGTATGCTGTGTCTGATGAATTCTACGGTGAATCCAATTATCTATGCTCTAAGGAGCAAGGACCTGAGACATGCTTTCAGAAGCATGTTTCCACCTTGTGAAGGGACCGCACAGCCTCTTGATAATAGTCTGGAGTCTGACTACCAGCACAGACATGCTAACAATCCAGGCAATGTCCATAAGGCTGCTGAAAGATGCATTAAAAATACAGTTAAGATTGCTAAAGTGACTATGTCAGTCTCTTCAGACACTACTGCAGAGGCATTGTAAAACAAAGACAACATTTGGGAGAAGAAAGTGAGAGAAAGCAGGAGAAAAATCATGACTTCAAAAATGTATTTTTCCTCAATTGTACCATTTTAAATTTTACTCTTTTTAAATGATTTTTTTAAAATTAAGTAGTAGCCCTTTCCCCGGGTTCTATAAACAAGGACTCAGATTTTGTTTTTAGAAATAGATTTCTCAATTGGCAAAATGTAAATTGGTTAATAATTGCTTAACCCTATTATTATGCACAAAACATCTCATCAATCAATGAGAGACGTCTGTCTATGCTAAGGGAAGCATATTAGATGCTGAGTTGAAACATGCACAATACTATAATTAGATCCAATACTAATTTTATAATTGCATTTAATTTCGGTATGAAATACATGTATGATAAGTAAGTGTTCATACCATCTTCTCCAAATGCAGCAGTACTGGACTGTAAACATTTTGTATTATGTCTTGTGAAATGTACATTGTTTACTGTATGTTACTGATATTCGTTTATTCAAAGTGATTAAGTAGATTTATGTAGATGTAATGTAAAGTATGTGATGATGTAATCTTTTCGCCCTATCATGAAAATACTTCCTGTACTTTGAAGAATTTCTGTGAGGTATACCGAAAATTTTATGTTCTTAGTGTTTTTAGTGAACTTAAAGGGAAAGGCTTTACATTGGTTCTCTTCACATTTGAAATCATTACAAAGCCTGAAATTCCTATACATGGAAATAGCAGCAACAACAAACTATAACAAGTTTTTCTTTGCAGAAGAAAATTATATTGCTCAAACTGCAAAAAGTAGTTTTTAACAGATCATTGGCTTTTTGTTGGAAAAGGTTTATATTGTAAGAGGCAAGATATCAGGCATTGGCTTATTTAACTGGAAATTATTTCTTCTGGTCAGTTGCTAGCAAAGGATCTCCAAAAACAACATGTGACCAGTGTACAAAGTTATCACTGTGATATATACTTGAAATGTGTTGCATTCCTAAGTCCCTGGTTTCAATGCATTTTGAAAGCTGAGATGCCAAACTCTTAATTTTTGGTCACACACGGATAAAATGTTGCTCGTACTTCTTAAAATATGTGGATATCTAATTACTGTCTATGTATTTGTGTAAACTGTATGTGAATTCTAAATAACTGTAGGTTACATTAATATTGTTAAGATAAGAAATTGTGACCAAATGTTTTCTTACATTTGTTGTTGCATTCTTTGCACATGAATTCTGTTTTTAAAAGTGAGTTCTTCCAGCCAAATCCATAAAAAAATTCAGCATTGTATTGGAAAAAATCCAATCTGATACCTAAAGAAAAATAATATTCTGGTATTAACAAGATAGCCTTGCTAAGAAGACAAAAGTGCTATTACACTTTAAGACTGATTGGTTTGTTATTTAGTCAGAATAACTATAAAAATGATTGGAAAAGCAGACTATCACTATGAACAAATATAGAAAGCTTAAAATAGACACTTGCAAGTGTCAGAATTAAGCCACAACAGCAACAAAATGCAGGAGAAATCTGTTTGAAAATCTCCAAATCTTCATAATCTCTGCCAGAATTTAAAATGCAGAGATAAAAATTTAAATGCCAAACCTTAAAAAACAAAGTGAAACACTTAAATTCCTGATCACAACAAAGTAGGATTCTCCAGATCACCATGATCTAGCCAAGATGACTTATACTTGGAAGCAGATCTTCATGCTGTGACTCCTCTTATTGACCAGGTTATATATGCAGAGGAAGATGTTACATGGACAGTTTCCCTTTCCGGAATCTTTATTGATGGTTTGGAACCTATCCATAGTATCAGAAATCTAGAGTCAGGACACATTTATATGGCAGGACACTAAACCCAGTTTTATCCGCTGTCAACCTAGTAGGCGTATAAATTCAGATCCTTATATAAAACAGTTTTTACAACTGCCATATGAAAAGATGATTTGTCAACAGTAGATAAACTGAAACCTAAAATATTAGAAACCAGGAATAAATAAACAAATTTAATTTCATTGATAAGCAAAATAAAGTGCTAAATTCAAAGGTAGCACTTAACCAGTGATACCCAGGTTCCAGAATACTAATACAGTAGGGCCTTTTTTCTTATGCTGTTTGCAAATAAGATTTTTTTTCCAGGAATATAGAAAAGGAATGGGTTCAATTTCATTTCCATCTATAGTCCTGATATGGTTGGCATCCCTGCTTGATCTTCCATTCTCTTCCCCTTCTCCCCTTCCTTCCTTCCTTCCTTCCTTCCTTCCTTCCTTCCTTCCTTCATTGTTGTGATAGATTAAATCCTTAGGAAGGTGACCCAGAAGAACCTCCTCATGAGAAGGAAAACACCAGCCTACTCTATTCATGTTCATCGTCAGGAATTTCTGCTTTTTAAAGAGTAAGATCAGTTATAAGAAATGTCTTCTCCCCCATTTGAAAATTATAGTTACGCGTAGGCTGGATACATACTTTATTCTAAAAAGAAGCCATAATGTGGCTTGTTTTATTATAGTATATGAACCCAACAATTCTGGCTTTCAACTCAGGATTCATGTCTTTCCATGTTTATTTTTATTTATTTATTTTTATTTTATTTGGTTTGTCAATTGCTTACAAGTTAATAGGTATAAGTAAAAATATAGTTATGAATACATGGATACATATAAGAAAAATAAAAGAAACAATAGGATGGACGGTAGGCACGTTGGTGCGCTTATGCACACCCCCTACAGACCTCTTAGGAAAGGGGTGAGGTCAATAGTAGACAGTCTAAGGTTAAAGTTTTTTGGGGTTTGGGGAAGAAACCACAGAGTCAGGTAGAGTATTCCAGACATTGACCTCTCTGTTGCTAAAGTCGTATTTCCTGTAATCAAGTTTGGTGCAGTTAACCTTGAGTTTGTATCTATTGTTTGCTCTTGTATTGTTATGGTTGAAGCTGAAGTATTCATTGACAGGTAGGACATTGCAATGTATGATTTTATATACTATACTTAGATTGGACCGAAGGCGGTGTAGTTCTAGGTTTTCTAGGTCTAGAATTTCAAGTCTGGTGGCATAAGGTATTCTACAATGAGTAGAGGAGTGGAGAACTCTTCTTGTGAAATATTTCTGGACTTTCTCAACTGTGTTAATATCAGATACGTAATGTGGGTTCCAGACTGATGAGCTGTATTCGAGTGTTGGTCTAGCAAATGTTTTGTATGCTCTAGTTAGTGTGATATTACCAGAGAAAAAGCTACGTAAGATTAGGTTAACAACTCTTAATGTCTTTTTGGCTATGTAGTTACAGTGGGCTCTAGCACTTAGGTCATTTGAGGTGAGTACTCCAAGGTCCTTGACAGAGTTTGGATTATCAACAAGGTCTTGATTATTCAGCTTGTATTTTATTTTCTGATTTTTTTTGCCAATATGTAACATAGAGCATTTATTTGTTGAGATTTGAAGTTTGACCATTCCGATACATAGTCGAGGCCTCTTTGAAGGGTAGCAGTATTGTCTGTGGTGTTGAATAGCTTTATATTGTCAGCGAAGAGAACGCAGTTGCTCTTAGTATGATCACGGAGGTCATTTATGTAGAGTATGAAGAGAGTTGGTCCTAGAACACTTTTATGTTATGTGAATCCAGCCAATTAAACAAATCATGATTTGGTATGAAGATGAGCCTTGTTGCAAACTAGGATTTTTGAAAGCTTTGAATAGTGAGGCTTCTGTTTTATTCAAGAAAAGATGCAGAAAATGGAAGAACCTTGATGTTTCCTTGGGCTGCTCCTGTTTTCATGACGGGACCTAGCTAATGAAAGAGGTTATGATTACATTGATGGTGCCTTATTTTTTTTAAATCACACTCGTTCTTTGCCAGAATGAAATAATCATGAAAATTAACATTAGTTTTGTTGTCTCTGCATAGTAATTAATGTAGATAATAGCTGTATATAAACTGCTTACACTGACAGGAATTCATAAAGTTGTAATCAATATACCCTGAGGGAAGAGATAAGAAGAAAGCTAATATATTGTATTTACAATATTAGTAAATTGTACCTGAATAGAGAAGAATCCAAGACTGGTGATCTAAACGTAGGTTAATTCAAACTTATTAATTAGCTGGGTCACTATAAGGTAAATAAGAATTTCATTCTGATGAACAACAAAAAATTTAGGAGTATTGGTTAATATCACATTAATGTTGGGCTGAGCATAAAAAAAGTTGTTTGAATTTGAGAGATATAGTAGGATAACTAAAAGGGACAATTGCAGATGAATTTCTTCCAAATATCCGCTGGAAATGCTTACGTTCACAGAGAGAGGGAAAGAGGGAAAGAAACTGATAATAGCTCTTTGGTAAAGCAATGCTCATTCAAGAATTCAAGTCCCCATAATAGACCATTAATATGAGTCTGAACATACACTAAATGGAGAGGGAAAATTTGTTGCCTATATGCACTGTAGCCATTGCTGACTGGGTAGAAACTGATGTAATTTGAAGTGAATGTTTTCTAAATCAATAGGAACAGTTTTCAATCTGAACGTTTAGAAGCCAAAAAAATACCCTAAGTATAAAATGCAAAAGTGTTTCAAGAGCCATTTTTAAACTTAATTCTTGTGACTTTAATGCAAAGTTGTGTGGATTTCTGTTTTATGTATTCAAGTTGCTATCTTTTGTGATTAAAATAAACTTTGGGACAATGGGGCTTTCATGGCACTTACCATGGTGCTTATTGATAAAGAAACAACTTCCTGTGAAATACTATGTCCTCATCAATATATTCCATTTAAGTAAATAAGTATTTTTTTTCCTTTAAAAAGCTCTTTTTAAACTATGTACATTATAATAACATCATTTTGCAACTGAGCTGGCTATGAAGTCCCTGCAAATGAATGCTAAACATAACTGTTGCTACTTTACTAAGATGAGCTGCTCTTAAGGCAGCTATTCTCAAAACGCTTGAGAAGGGAAACATTCTGCACTGGGAACTTCAGGCTCTTATGATTCTTCTCCATAG